CGAATCAGGGATTCCGAGTTTCGTATTTTCGCACCAAATTCAACATGCTATAGCTCAAAACAATCCTAGTAACATCAGAAACTCAAATCTAAGTTCAATTTCATACATCTTCATGATACTGCATGCCACGTTTTATTTGATACGGGAGCTACACATAGCTTCCTAAGCTTGAGTATGGTAGAGAAGTTGGATGTGATGGATATGGATATGGTTTAGAGATATAGAGTACACACTCCCTCGGGAGAGATTCTGCCAGTGACAGGGGTGTTACGCGGGATTCCTCTAATACTCTGTGGAAGGAATCTCTTAGCTGATCTGATTATAGTGACTATTCAGGGTTATGATCTGATATTGGGAATGGATTGGCTGACCGTGCATCAGACACATATTGACTGCCTCCGGAGAGTTATTCAGTTTGCAGATGCGGCATAGAAGTTTGAGTTTCTGGGGGACAGAGCATGGAATCCTTTTCCAATCATATCAGCGTTCCGGGCCAGCCGAATGATTCGGAAGGGAGATGAGGCGTTTCTCGTGGTAGTGACAGCTACCAAGGAGTCTGAGGTGAGGTTAGATGAGACGTCTGTGGTTCGAGGATTGATGAGTTATTTGATCAGTTGCAGAGTGCACAGTGGTTCTCGAAGATAGATTTGCGCTCGGGATACCATCAGATTTGTGTGAAGGTCGGGGATGTGCAGAAGACAGCTTTTCGTACACGATATGGACATTTTGAGTTCGTCGTTATGCCTTTTGGACTGACGAACGCTCCTGCAGTATTTATGCAGTTGATGAACCGTGTATTCATGGATTACCTCGACGAGTTTGTCATCATCTTCATTGATGACATATTGATCTACTCACCGGATCGACGCAGCCATGAGCAACACTTGCGTATGGTATTGCAGCGCTTGAGGGAGCAGAAGTTGTATGCGAAGTTTAGCAAGTGTGCTTTCTGGTTGCAGAAAGTTGGATTTCTGTGCCATGTGATTTCGTCTCAGGGTGTACAAGTGGATCCGGCAAAGATTGAGGCTGTGATGGAGTGGAAGACGCCTACCAATGCCACGGAGATCCGCAGTTTCTTGGGACTGGCAGGGTACTACAGGAGATTTGTCGAGGGTTTCGCCAAGTTGGCAAAACCAATGACCAAGTTGACAGGGAAGAATGTGTGGTCTGATTGGACACCGGAGTGTGAAGCGAGCTTCGCAGAGCTCAAGAGACGACTCACGACCGCACCCATACTGGCATTACCATGGCCAGGTATTCTCTTTGAGGTTTATACCGATGCGTCGAGACAAGGCTTGGGTTGCGTATTGATGCAGGAAGGACATGTGATTGCATACGCATCCCGACAGCTGAGGAAACATGAGGAGAATTATCCGACGCACGATTTGGAGCTGGCAGTAGTGGTACATGCGTTGAAGGTTGACCCGAAGGATTGGACCGAAATGAGCGAGAAAAACGGGCGGAAAATTGGTCAGACTGTCCGGTCTGGGAAGCAGACCGTCCGGTCTGCCTAGCCGGACCGTCCGGTCTGAGGTCGCTGCATCGAATTCTCACGCGCCACCACCTCCTGCTTCACCATGCAGCCGCCTCTCCCACCTTTGGCCACCTCCTGCTTCCTCTGGGACGCGAGGATTTGCGGCCTAAGCCCACCCATTTCTCCTGTGTTCGATCTCTCACTTCGCTCTCTCACTCCCCCACAAACTCTTTCAAATTTCTGAATCTTCAATCCTCGATTGAAGCTTCTATTTCAGTCGAAATCAAACAAGGAACGCATAAATCAACCCTACAGAACATCCCCAACGAAACCCCAAGCTCGAATTTGAGCTAAGTGAGTGTTTCGGATTATGCCCGAAAATGATAATCAAATTAAAAATGAAGATTTGCGTGGATTGAGTGCAAATTGCATGAAATTGATTGTAGATTTGAGTTCCTGATGTTACTAGGATCATTTTGGGTATAGCGTGTTGAATTTGGTGCGAAAATGCGAAACTCAAAAATCCCTGGTTCGCCTAGACCGACCGGTCTAGGTCGGGATCGTCCGGTCTAGGGTCGCAGGCTCGCGAGGAAGAAGACGACCTCAGACCGTCCGATCTAGGTCTCCAGACCGTCCGGTCCAGGGCCCTCAGTCCGTCTGGTCTGGGTTTCTCGGAACGCTCGTTCCGGACCCTGCAGACCGCCCGGTCCAGGCGGGCAGACCGTCCGGTCCAGACCCCTGTTTCCATCAATCGACCCCTGTACCCAATCAATCTTGACCATTCTTTATCCGTATTTCATGAAACTCAAATGAAACCGACCTACGGTAAGCAAAACCTTCGGAACGAGATGAATTGGTAATCCGAGATGGTCGGAACCCAATTTGATCGGATCGGAGGGTAAAAGAATAGAATGAATGTAATGGAAACGAGATATCCAAAATGACAAGTAAGGCGTATGTATATACGATTAAAGTATAATGATATATGAGTGCATGTGATTGGGGAACCGGGTAGTTGGCATGACGTGAGACTTTATTCCGGAGGGCCGGGATAAGGTTGAGCGTGTGATTGTAGCGGGTTGATGAAATATCCCGATGATTGCATTGGCTGAGATCTCCTCTTTATGATCTCTGACCCGGGTCGGGTTTCATATTGAGGAGGCATGATTGTGATTAGTTGCCCACGGGCAGAGCTTGGAGCCGATGATACACGTGATAGTCTTGAGCGATTCGGCTATCACGGGGTTGAGAAAATCCTACTGTTACACTGTAACCGCGCCAACGTTCCACTAGCTATGGAGCGGGTTCAGGATTGAGTGATTCTCCCGGCAGAGACTGGCAATACATTTACCCGTGACTCGGGATTGAGCGATTCTCTCGACGAGGTTATGCGAAGGAACTCAGAAAGATCTGAGCTCAGGTCCAATGAGTTTTTCCGTGGCGGACGGCCGGCGAGAGGTTATCAGTTGTGTACTGGCTTCGCTCGACATAGTCGGTGGTGGTCTGGAGTAGGCACCTGGCGCTCTGGCATCGAGAGGTGACATCGATACCAGAGAGGATGATTGATGTGATATGTTTTACGAAGTGGGGCACGGAGTTGATATGTTTCATTATTCCGGCGATGGCCAAGGAGAGCGGGGGATGTCCGTTGCACATGGAGCGTCCTTACCCACATGTGTGATGCACACGTGGAGATGATTTGACGGGATTGATGATACTGAGAGACCCGATGGGTCGAGTTATGACTCGTGTACATATGTCCTGGACTGGTGAGACCAGATCCTTGCGGTATCCTATGTGTGCGATGCACATAGAGCGATGGGTCGAGCTTTGACTGGTATATTTGTCCTGATCTGGTGTCACCAGATCCTTGCGGTATCTGTATCCTATGTGTGCGATGCACATAGAGATGATTTGACGGTTATGTCCGATGACTCGTCATTCGGACTGAGTGTGTATGATAGTGATTACCTGTACCATTGAGTGAACCGTGTTTGATGGCATGTAGCGTGTATATATGTATACACCTACATTTACCGTGTGTATAATATTGGTTGTGTTTGGCCATTTGCAATTTGAGTATGATCTTCGGGTCTAACCTGAAGTACTCACTAAGCATGTAGCTTATGGATGTTGTTATGCAACGTTTCAGGCTCGGAGCGGTTTTGGCAGCAGCAGGACGAGGGTACTGGTGACGCATGAGGAGTTCTCTGGATCATGTACTTTTCTTTCTTTGGACTTATGTTGGTTTGTACGGACGGTGACTAGACTTTGTGTTATATCGGATTCATCGTCTTTATGTTGGCGTGTATACTACCGTACGTGGGTTTGTTAAACATATATTTGTTTTCCGCTGCGTGTGTAATAAAGTAAAATGTTTTAAATTCCCGCTATTTTATTATATGGTTTGAGCGTCCATGTGGCACAACTCGTGAGCGGAATACGGGTTACGGGTGTCACAATACATATTAGTTTATTTTCTCTGCGGTGAGTATTTTTCATATTCCAATATTGGGTTAATCATAACTTTAAAGTGAATAAGAATTGAAATGTTCTAATGCTCTACTTGACCATCATGTATGATGTCAAAGAGCCAAATTGGATAGCTAATAATATCATTACCATTTTGCATTACTAGACAAGAAATATCTTCAATCGTTTGTATCATAAACTCGGATTTCATTGAGTTCTAAAAACTCTTTTTTGGTCACTAAAAAATATCATTCATGTCCGTATAACGTAAATCAAAGATTTTATATATATATATATATATATATATATAAAGATGAATACCAAATTCATTAAGTATACGTAATACATAAAAGATGAATGTCAAATTCATTAAATATACATGACATATAAAAGATGTATACAGAAGATTGATAATTTAATGTTACGATGATGAAAGGATGGAGATAAGAGATCAAAAGGGTAGAGAATGCGAGAGGAGAGACAAGTATCGGGACCTCGAGGCTGCTCTTCATATTTCCCGGCAGCCGCCACCGCGTCGGTCGTCTCCGTCGGCGGCGTCTGCGGCGGAGAAGGAGAAGGAGCGACTCGTCTCTCTCGACGTCTTTCGTGGGGTTACAGTTGCGGTGGGTGAAACTTTCTCGTTGGGTTTCTTACATTACACCCTCTTTGAATTTCTTGCCATAATTTTGTTTCGTTTTTTGAAAAAAAATTCAAACTTTTTTAAGTTTCAGATTCCAGGAAACAAAAAAATTTGATCTTTATTTACAGAGAGTGGAAAAAAGATTCAAACTTTATTACAGCTCGGTGTCTACTTTAGATTTTTATGTGCTGGGTTTGATCAAGCCTTGTTGTAGCAATGGAGGGTTTGACAAGTGAATACCCAATGTAGCAGTAGCCATATTTAGATGAAGAACAGTCTTTTTCCATGATCTGAGTTGTGTTTTTTTGTGATTGTGAATGATGCAGTTGATGATACTTGTGGATGATGTTGGAGGGATTTTTCCATCTATCAATCATTCGCCTTGGAATGGCGTAACCCTAGCAGATTTCGTCATGCCCTTTTTCCTCTTTATCGTCGGTGTTGCTCTCGCCTTTGCTTATAAGGTATGCTTGTTCTTAGCACCATGGTTTCAGCATCAAGTTCTTGTTTCATGTTCTTATAAAGTTATAGTTCTTTGAAGGATTTATCTGAATTGTTTCATGGTGTGAAATTACTTAGTAATCTATCGAGATTGACTCATCGCATCAAATCTCTTTCCTTTGCAGAACTTGTCATGCAGGTATTCGGCAACAAGGAAAGCGGTTCTTCGGTCACTGAAGCTCTTTTCAATGTTTATTTGATAAAATAAAAAGTTCAATGTCTTTTTGTCAAAATTTGAAAGTTGTGTTTTTTTTTGGATTTTTCTATTTTAAATGAATCTATAATATAAAAAATCACTCCAAATAATTATTATTATTTCTTTACAAAAACAATTGTTATTGTTATCTAACATTCTCACCATATTAATATGAACTAAGTTTTTTTAAAAGACAAAAACTTAAAATCATTTTCTTAATAAAAATTAAAAAAAAAAACATTCCACACCATATACATATAATACTAAATATATCTAACAAACAACAAAACATATAATACAAAATTCATATTAGATTAACAACAATACATAATATCTTTTTTTTCCAACTGTTTTTTTGTAATGTTTGAATTTTTTTAATAATATACAATAAATTAAAAGAATAAATTTATATTGAAATATGAGGTGATTATTCATATAAATTTATGATTATTATCAGTGTTAATATAACACAAACAAATCCTAGATTATTTAATAGATTTATATATAAACTAATATCATTATTATGCTACTAATATAATAGTGTTTATAATTTTTAATTTATTCGCTTTTACTTATATATATATATAATAATTGAATACTATAATTTTAATTTTACATTATATATATATAATAATTTTTATAATAAAACAAGAAATAACCCGCACATCGCGCGGTTCTCACCTAGTTAATATTAATGAAATCTTATCCTTTTTAAAAAATTTAAAGTTCAAACTTCTTCTTAAATAACTAATTCCCTAAAAACTCAGGCCTAAAACACCTAGAGAAAAGGTACAAATGGTTAGTTGTTTCTTAATTATAAAAGAAAATTCCATAAAAATTCTCAAATTCTTAAACATATATCACAAAAAAAAATCCTCAATTAAAAATTTGCCACATAAATTTTAAAATGTTAAATTTGCTTCCAAATTAATATCCACAAAAACGGTGTTAGTTTACCGTTTGGGAATCCAACGTGGCATTCAAAATTTTGCCACATCAATGACACGTAAATTTATGTGCCAAATTTTTATTTGGGTGGTACAATTTAGATTTTTTTTTTGAAATTTTCCATAAAAAAAAAATTTCCTTATATTTTATTTTCATGTTAGACAAACAATCGGAATGCCATATATGATATTAGCATTATAATTTATTTGACCGTATTGAGAAATATGAAAGGCATAAAAGGCATCAACTATTTACTCACACCAACAACATCTTGCACTTCAGATTTATCACAGACAATATTTCACTAATTACTCATCTATTGATTTAAAACCCAAAAACCATCAACTATATAACTTGTTTTAAAATAATATTTTACCTTCAATTTATTATAAAAACTATCAATTATTAATTTTTATTAAAAAAATTTCTACTATATAAATTATTCAAAAATATTATGCTTGAAGTTTGTTATAGACGTCTATAAAATTTTAAGAAAAAAATCATCAAATATCTAACTTACTAAAAAAACAAGCTGCGTCCATTATTTTTCACCTTCTCCAAAAACTTATATTTTACATGTAAAAATTAATCAATTTATACAATATTATATGTAAAATACTATATTTTTTACACTAGAAAATATATGTTATCTCTTATATACTTAATTTATATATAAATTACATACTATATAATATTTTAATTACTAAATTTTTTATAAAAATAAAATTGATCAACATCTCAAATATTAATATATAACAAAATTTTAAATATAATATTTACAATCTATGAAATATATTTAAACTAAAGTATAACATTGTAACAAATTTACATAAATATTATTTTTTTATTATGATTTTTATAATTGTATAATTATATAGGTTTTTTCAAAATCATAAATTTATAATGTGTTTTTTGAATAATTTAGACAATTGATGATTGTTTTTATTAAAACTAATGATTGATGGTTTATTGTAATAAATTTAAAGTGAAAGATTTTTTAAAACAAGTTATATGATTATAATTTTTTAAAAAACTAATAGTTGATGATTTTTATAATTAATTTTTAAATAGATTTTTTTTTACAAATAAAATAATTTTTTTTTGTAAAAGAGTCTAATCTCGAGATGGAGAGCCAATCATTTGATTTGGAATATACACTCTCTTTCGGCAAAGTTTGAACATGAGACGGAAGATATGTTTTGCATCGGTTAAATTATTCAAATTTGAATTCAAATAAAAATACTTGATTGTTTTTTTTTGGGGTTTGTTGCAAGGTTTTATAGTATCAAACATTCATTACATTATATTATCTAAATAGAAGTTTTTATATGATCTAAGTAGGTATGACGGTTTGCGAGATATTCTATATAATAGTGTCCATATCGCAATATTCCATATATTGTTGTATTCAAATCTAGAATAGCCATAACATATGCAACGAAAAATGAATTTTCATTAAATGTTATGATCAACCGATTTAGTTAACTACAGTATGCTTCAATTAAATATGCGAAGACTTGAAGGGGAATCAATTAATTGCGCCCTCAGTAATTTAATGTTAAACAGTGGTAATTAGTTATTGGTCTCCAGTAATTAATTGAATAATTTAATAAAATAAATACATCAAACAATAAAATTGCAGTTTCTCTTTCAACACCGTTTTATATATATATATATTTCCCCTGTGCCGTCTCCTACCGTTCTTGAACGAGTCCGAGTCCAACTCGCTTCCTTTCTCCTCCATCTCTCTCTTTCTCTGTGATGAGATTTCTCTGCGATTCGTAGAAGATCGGTTTCAAGCTCGATGATCAATCAGTGGGCACACATAACCCTAGCGGTTGTCTCCGTGGCCGTCCTCACCGCGCTCCTCGTCCTCCTCCTCCGCCGGTGGTGCTGTCTCCGGCGAACGGATCGCTCCTCTTCCGCCGCCATCAACGAGACGAACTTGAACCGGAGCGATAGTTTTAAGGCGAGAATCGCCAAACTCCACCAGCTCAACTCCTCCGACGTCAAGCGCAGAGGAGACACCAACAACTTTCGCATCCTCCGCGGCGGTGGCGGCGGCGGCGGCGTAGGTTTCCCGGCGAAGCCTGGTCTGTTCAGTTGGACGGATCATCCATCTCTGGTGACCGAAGCCGTGGAGTACGGGTGGTCGCGGTTCGGTTTCGCGGTCCACGCGCCGCCGCCGCAGCAGCTAGCCTCCGGGG